ATTCTTTCGAAGAAAAAATTACGATTCTAGGCAAAGGGACACAAAACAGTCAGTCTTGGGAAGACCGTACCATGTTGGACAGGCTGTGAGTTTTATGGGTAGTATCTCTTATTTCCTGTGTGGTTAAGAACACTCTTCTTTGGATCATTACATTTGGTTCACAACCATTTACTGAGCACACGCTATATGCCTCATTGGTTGGCAAAACAATAAATATATTCTTAAAATCCTTATAACACCTCTGTGATTGAGTATAATTATTACCCTCATTTTACAGAGGAGGAAACTGAGATCCAAAGAAATCACGGACTTGCTGCGTGTCAAAGTTAGGAAGCAGTGGGACAAGGATTTAAGCCTAAAAGGTCCTGTAAACGACTATACAGAACTGCCCTTTGAGAAGTATCTGAATAACCAAACTGCAAGACAGCAAGTGAAAAGCACCCCATGGGTGATCTAAACAAGCTACAGGGGAGTTCTAACCTCTGGCAAGGGCAGGGAATGGTGAGAAGGGCTCCCTGGAGGGGTAGCATTTGAGTTGGGTCTCAAAATGTGGGCCAGATTTCCACAAGTGGGCATAGAGGAAAGCATCTTTAAGATGAAAGAGCATGAACCAGCACTCCAAATTAGGAAAGTGAAAGGTATGTTTGTTAGAATTTTATAGTTCAGTTTGTTGGGGAAGCGGTTTTCCAAGGTGGCAGCAGATGAGCTGGAGTGGGCTGTAGTCGGGGAGCAGGGATTCTCATATTGTCACGGGCAAACGGGCAGCCTGTGGGTCTGGTTAAATGTGGCCTCTGTTTTAGCAGTCTGTGATGCTGGCCCCCAGGGAGGCCAGGGCGGCTGGTCTTGGACCACACTGAGCCTCTGGGCTCTTGAGGGCCTTGCTTTCCTGGCTCAGGGGTGTGGACTTTATTTGGTAAAGCCATGACTGCACAGATGGATTCTAAGCAGGGAAAGAAGCCTCTAGAAAGATGTTTGGTGGTACTGCAGAATACTCTGGGCTTTGCTTCCTTTAGCCCCTGACTTGTAACCCTCAAAACGCACAACAGCGATTCAGTCAGGGTTCAGGCAGGAAAACAGAAACCACCCTAGCTAGTTTAATGGGGAGAATTTCACCCTGGCTTCTGATTGTAGAAGAACTGATTTGCCGAGGCTGCCTGGACCCGGTTCCCTGCCCTCCTCGAGGACTGGCCCGAAGCAAAATCTGTCCTATTCTCTATGGGTTCAAAAAGGAGATGAGATGTTGGTTTGGTCTTGGGCCGTCCTATGGGCCCATCCAGGTAGAGACTGGGCCCCATCACCCAGCATAGTCTGGATCACTTTTCCACAATAGGCGGATGTGCTCAGGGAATGAGAAATGCTGCTAATATCAGCCTGAAAAACACATTATCAGGAAATTAAATCTGTGGCTTTAAAAAAATCCCACACTGCTTTCTGGCGCTGCTCAGTCTCCCATCAGGGAGCTCTCCCTCTGCCTGGGGGCCTCCTTCCGGCCTCCTCCCCTCCCTAGCTGGTCCTCCCACCTCTGGCTCCCCTCCCCCAGCCTCCCCTCCTTCCTTTCCTTCTTTCTTTCTCATCCCACAGGACCTCTAGCCTCCTTCTTTCTTCTCACTGAGCTCCTCCTTTGTGGCTTCAGCCTGCCCTTCCTGTCTCCAGGCCTCCAGCTTTTCCTCAGCTCCACGGAAGCATCTGTCTGTCTCCTTTTCACTTCCCATCAGGGAATCCGAAATGCTGAATAGGCCCTTCAGACGGGCCCCTGAAGGGGACTTGGCTGGAGCACTGGGGAAGAGGGGAGGGGTGCCGGGAACCTGCCAGGGCCATACAGAAGCCCATTGATAGGCAGCTCCTCCACACAGACAATCCAGCCCAGCCTCCATGGCTCTGGGCGCAGAAAGGTGTCCCTTGAGGTGGTGGCCAACATCCCGGACATCATGAATGACCTCAGTGTCTCTGGCTGGTGGGGGAACTTCCCTCCGTATCCTCCAAATCCTTCAGGCCTATCAGCCCCACCATCGGTGTGAATATATTTGTCTTGAAAATAATTTGTCAGTACATCTCCATCAGCAGTGCTGATTTCATTAATTGGAAGAATTAGCTCTTTGTGGCCAATGGAAGAATATGGAGCCAAAACACACGAAACGCTTTTCCCCAGTGACCTAGAGACCCCTGGACGAACTCCTGGGTGCCATGAAAATGTATCATTTTGCAGAAAGAATATCATTGGATGTTTATTTAACATCACTCTCCAACCCCCCCAACCGCCCCCCCCCCCCAAAGACCTTCGAATCACTCTCACATCTGGCTGCTTTTTTTCCCTTCATTTTTTTGTGCAAAGCCAGGGCAGGGAGGAAACTTCATCAGTCTGAAAACATCCAGCAGCAAAGTGTAAATTAAATGTGCAGAGAGGCCAGGGGAGGGGGGGGGTAGTCTTACATCCTGGGGGTGGAGGAGTAAAGAGACTGTGTCTTCGTTCCCACTCAGTATGGGCAGGACTGTTTCTGGACCCTGTGTCTGCACTACGATCTGTGTGACCTTGGGCAAGACATTTAACTCTTCTGAGCCTCCACTTCCTTACTGGTAAAATGGGGGAAATAAACACATACTCCTAGGGCTGTTAGAGGGTTAAAGGAGATAATGCACATGCAATATATGGCACATAGTAGATGCCTGATTAATAGTTGCTGCTATTATTGTTGCTGGAATAAAAATCAGGGTAGAATCCCAACGGTTCCCATATCTCAGAGACCCACCATTGCTGGCCCCATTCAGGGAGACAGATGGGCAAAAATATATCCAATGAGGGGAGACAGACGGACAAAAAGGGATGATCAAGGGTATCGGATGGAATGACAGGCCAATAGGGTGATGGACAGATGGACCATCTTATGGGGGAAGCAGATTTATGGCAATCCAAAGGAGACACTGAGAGTCGGTTGTCCCGGGGGAAGGACAGATGGATGAGGGTCCAATGGGGGAGACAGAGAGATGACAGGCCACGGTGGAAGACAGATGGATGGCAATTTCATAGTGGAGTGGGGGATGGGGTGGGCAACCCCCTGACTAGGGAGAACAGATGGACACATACTGATGATGGGCCCCAGGCTTCCTGTTTAGTCTCTATTCCTCAGGCTTAGACATCCCTGAAATCACAAGAACCCCAGGGGCTCCGTGGGCATTCGAGAGGGGCGTGTCACATGACCTGAGAAGACCCGAAGCACCAGGGTCGGCCTGGTCTCTGCTTCTCCCCACTCCCACAGCCCCTTCCTGGGTGGCCCCACAGATAAAGGCTCAGGCATGATGAGAAGGAGGAGGAGGAGGAAGAAGAGGAGGGAGAAAACAACATTTTGGAAGAAAAGGGAAGTGAAAACTGGCTAAAACTTTTATTTATTTAAAATAAAGGTTGTTATGCTTGACTGTAAACATGCTGGCCCATCCCTCTCTCCCTCTCTCTTCTCATGGCAGAGGGCTCAGACCACACAGCAAGCTGGGGACAGGAGGCAGAGAAGGCCACGGGGAGGGGTGGGACTAGGGTGGCCCTGGTGTTGGGAGGGGAGAGGGACCTAGGAACTCAGTGCCCTGCGGAGCGCAGCCTGCCTGGCCTAGTCCTAGACCCACTAGCCTTCCAGCTCCAAACCCTTCAGCATATAAACCCGCAATCGTCCGTACGTCCAGGCGTCCATACGACGTCAACGTCACACGCACACGCATGCGCAGTCAACGTAGGGCCGGGGACGGCACAGACAGGCCCGCAGACCCTCACAGGTGCCTGCCTGTCTCTGTTTCTCTCCTTGTTGGAGAGAGACAGCAGCCCTAGAGGAGGTGAGCAGAACCCCAGCTGTGAGTCACATTTTCTGTTTGAACTAAAAATCCTTATCTGCCTTTGTCCTCTTTCTTTCTGGTTCCACCTGACTTCCATTTTTAGCAGTGCCTGAGCCGTTTTGAGTGGCCTGTAAGAACCTATGAGCTCCCCAGAGAAGGGAGACGGATGTGGATGGGGAAGAATCTGGACCAGAAACAGGTCTGGGAACCCTGCGTTGCAGGTCTTTTGTGAATCGGTTGCTGTGGCCACCAGTGGTGGCCCGACCAGACAGGGAAGGACTGTGGTGTGCAGGGTCAGGAGCGAAGAGGCAGGAAATGTTTGTGATAAGAGGCTTCCCCTCTTGCAAGCTCCCCTTAAATCCAGACCCAGTTGTGGGATAAGGGCAGGGAGCTGTCAGACCCAGCGGCTGCAAGAGCCAGCCTTTGGGACTGCTGGAGGAAGGGGCTGCATTTGCTCGGGGCCCTCAGGGCCCCCCCAAAGGCAGCACTTGGGGATAAAAATGATCCTGGGAACCCAGCCCTGGGTTCCCTTAAGAAATCAATCCCTTAAGAAAAAGAAAAGAAAACAAAGCCCCTGGGCTTTTTAAATGCAAGTAGCCCAGAGGGCAGAGCAGGTCTAACCACTGCTGGCCCCAGGACATTTCCTGCTCTGGGTTGGTCCCACCTGGAGCCATTCATTAATATTAACCAGTAAAAATGGAAAATGGAAGAGTGCATCCACAAGGACCGAGGGAATCCGTTCCAAGGTAGTCTTCTCTGGGGATGGAATCTCGGTAATGTGTGTCATACAGCCGTTCGTGAGGCATGGTGCTCCCCAGACTCCAACTGTCTCCTGTTTGTTCAGGGTCCCCATAACTTCGCCATCTGTGGTTGACTTGGACTGCTCACAAAAGAGCTGGAAGGGCTGCAAAGGAACACCCCATGGGTGGGGGTGAGGCTTTCGGCCTCCTGCTATGGTACCAGTGCCCCTTCTTAAGGATTAGCAGCTTCTATCTGTCCCGGGGGCTGCACTGTAAATGCCTGTGTTATGCTAATTTGTGGTTGGCAGGAGATTGATTGGGAAGAAGCTGAACAATGGCAGGAGGAGGCTGAGCTTCTGGAGCCTTTGGCGGGTGTGGGTGTGTGTGTGTGTGTCTATCTTCTAGAAGGAATGTAGCAACAGGGAACAGAGGATGATTGAAGGAGAGGATGGGGATGAAGTCACTGACAGTCGGAGTAGAGTCTATGAAGTACCCACTCAGGGAGATTTTTTTGAGATAAGTGACATCCCATCGCTTTTGCTGTATTCTGTTCGTTAGAAGCAAGTCACCAGGTCCAGGCCACGCTGAAGGGGAAGGGATCACACAGGAGGCAAGAATCAGTGAGAGCCATTTCAGAAGCTGCCTGGGACACAGTGCCTCGTACATAGTAAGTGCTCAGGAAGAGATGTTGGTACTGGGTCTAGTGACACGCTCTGTGAGGTGTGCTACTTTCCCTTCCGAGGCCCGGCCTCTGCTGTCCCGTCTTCATCTCTCTTGGAATGGCTGGGTTTTCTCGGAGGATTGTTCCTCTGGCGCTGTGAGGTTTGTGACTCTCTCTCTCTCTCGGTGTGAGCTGGCAGACAGAGGATAGACGCTCACTCACGCTCACACTGTCTTTCTAACAGCCTCTTTGTGACCGTGTGTGGTCTTGCGCTGTGGTCAGCATACAGATATTTTAATTTCCTGCTCACCTGCTCCGTGGAGGATCCGATTTCTTCTTGCGTTTATTTTTTTTTTCTCTAGCAGCTTGTGGACAGGTATTTTGGTCTGACCATCTGGTAGCCATTCACCTTTACGATGGCTTGAGAAAGGAATTAATTTCACTTGTTTCTTTAGCCGTATCTGCCTCTTTTGACAGTAAGTTACCTTTATCACCTCTTAAAATTCTTACTATGTTGGTCCTTCTGGTACCTGGGGGGCTCTTTAGATCCCCTAACTTTGTGCAACTGTGTCTCCTTCTTTGGTTTAGCTTCTCATGCCCTTCTTGTTGTACCAAGGTTTTAAACATCCTAGATATACTTCTAAGATGTACCTCTCTGCACCTACGGCCCCCTGAGAGTGATGGATTCAGCTTGACTAGATCAGGCCAAGAGTCATCAGAGACAATCAACTGAAAGAGAGAATCTGACCCCTGCCCCAGTCCTGTCCCTTGACTGACTCCTGAGGCCTTTAGCCTAATTCTGGCGGGTAAATTGGGGAGGGCAGAATATGGGAAGGTCGAGGAAATTCCTGAGCTAGAATGAGGTGGGTGGAGCCTCTTCATTCCCTTCTGGCTTTGTATCCCTGAGTGCCTCAAGGGCCTACAGTCTCCCCGGAGACCTCTAGAAGGTGGCGAAATCAAGGATTGGTATTCTACTTGACAGATGGGACATCAAGGGCTTCTGTTCAGGAGCCTCATCTCAGCCTACCATGTTCTGCTGTATTTTTGTTGGAAGGAGTGTTGGCAAGGCAGTGGTATACACTGGGCTCTCTGGCCATAGAATATTATAAACACTGATGACAAGCGTCATAATATGCCTTGCCTGAAAATGGTGCTGTGTGGAGGGGATGGCTAATATCCTGGTCAGAATGAAGCCAACAACTGTCTTCTGGGATCTTAAAAGTCCTTCCAGCACCATTCACACACTAGTCTCTAATTGGTTAATAGACATGGTTGCCATTTCTAGGACCTCTTGCTGTAGTGTAGTGGTCAAGAGTACGCACTCTGGCCAGATGGGCCTTGGTTTGAATCTTAGTCCCTTCACTTACTAGCTCTGTAACCTTAGCTAGCTTCTCTAAGTCTCAGTTTTGACCTGTGTAAAATGGGCATGTGATGGTTTCATTCTCATAGGGTTGATATGAAAATTATACAAAGTAATAAATGTAATAGTATATGTAGCATAGAGTGTCTGGTGCATAGTGAGCTTTTTTTTTTTTTTTTAAGGATTTTACTTATTTATTTGAGAGAGAGAGAGAGGGCACGAGCAGGGGGGAGGGGCAAAGAGAGAGGGAGAAGCAGACTCCCTGCTGAGTAGGGAGCCTGAGGAAGGGTTCCATCCTAGGGTCCTGGGACTGTGACCTGAGCCAAGGCAGACACTTAACTGAATGAGCCACCCAGGTGCCCCACATAGTGAGCTCTTAAAGTCTTTTTTTAGTTTTATTCTCCTGGCCCCTAGGACCTTCCAATGGTTGAAGCCTCCATTTTGGGAGCTTATCATGCCTGTTAGTATGAGGGAGACTGTCTCTTTCTGCCCATCTCCCTTGTATGTTGGGCATCTTATGACCCTTACATCAATCTCCCTCCTGGATATTCTGTCTCTGGGACCTTGACCCCCTTTCCCTGCAACCCCCAATCCATGATCCTCCTAGCATGAGAATCAGTCTCCAAGTCCTGTCAGCTTGTCTGAGGGGCTGAGGGACAATCCAGCTGGGAGGTCTCCCTCCCTATCATTGATGACTTTGTTATGAACCTTATTTCGGCACTGAGGAGAAATGTAAAAAGTTCAGAGAAGTTGTTATTTGTTATCCCTCTCACTACCCCCTCCCCTCTGCCATTAACGGAATTTAACTCAATCCCTGAAACACAGAATTGAGTCACCCTTTTTGTCTACAGACACAGAGTGGACTTTTCACTTGGCTGGGGAGCTGTGCTGAAGAAACTGCCCGGGAGGCCAGACGGCATGTCTGTGGTGGGTCGGATCTCTCAGTGTGAGAGGAGGTGAGATGGAAGGGACAGGCAAGTGTCAGTGTGGCCTGAGGCTCCACGGTGATCCCAGGCTGTGTCCACAGCCACTCCAGGCCAGAAACTTCCTCAATTTCTACAGGACAGCCTGGCAAAGCAGTGCCCCAAGAACAGCTAGTCTTTCTCCTTTGGAAACTGGCATACTGGTTTCCATAGAAACAGGACTCCCCCACTCTGTCCTCTCTGAGCCCCATCTCAGAAACTTTTTGGCATGGATATCAAGGCTCAGGATGAGAGGATGAATCATCTGCATACTTTATCCAAAGGGAACTGGGCTTTCTAAGCCCAAAGCTCTCATGTGATGTAAATAGTGAAGCTGAAGGCTAGGATGTTATGGTGTTAGGGAGGTTGGCTGTGCTTGCAAAGCAGGAATGCTGAGTCAGTTGATGGAGGCAGATTTTGATGAGTGTTGTGAATTACTGGTTTGGCATGGAACATGAAATGGCTTTGTACCAAATCATCGGCAAGGAGAAAAGAGCTGGCACGGGCGGAGACCCCCGCTGGCTTAGGTAGAGTGACGGTGTCTGTGAGCTCCTTCTCAGAGACCTGGAGAGCTTGTAGTCTTACAAAATCCTCCTGAGGAGGGAGAAACTCAGAAGCTGTCCCATAAAGGGGGAAGAGGGTCATTTTTCTGTCTCAGTGACCCGTGGATAAAGACTATTTCTAAGTTGGACAATAGAAATGAGGGGTCTGAGAGTGGGGAGGTGATCTTCAGGTTGAGGGGGGATATGACGTATCTTTAATTGGAGTGAAGAAAATTTTCTTTTCTGATTATTTCAGAAGAGGACAAAGCTGACTGGATGGTGGACGATAGTTGCCCTTGTATGGAGGCTGGCTGTAGAAGGAAGAGAACAGTGCTGGGGAGTTCTGCAAGCTGATTTATTACTGGGTGAGCTGAAATTTACTTTGGGAAGCTGATCATTGATACGGGTCTTGTTTTTACCTGAGTTATTTCCCTGTCTTTAGGCATTTATAACAAATAAGGGGAGGATAAACAGATCTCTGCAGTTTTTATACTGGAAAATCCTGTTAATCTCTTTGTGATTTGAGCAGGTGGATGAGAGATTCCTGATTTCCATAATTATCTGTGCCTGGATGTTTATACAGAGAAGGATCATTGGGGTAGACTTGAAACGTGGTGCCCATGAGTGGAGATTGTACTCCAGGGGCCATGGAAAGAACTTCCTTCTGACAGCTGGAGACAGCCTTCTGTGTGGGTGGGTGGGGACATAATCCCTTTTATCCTGGCTTTGGTTTACTTAATTACCTCTTTAGCAGTGCTGTTCATGGCTGCAACAGGTGTCAGGCTTTGTAAGGCAGATGCTGAGAGCTGGCCAATATCTTCGGTCATTCCTGACCTGTAGGGCTGAACCTTCAATACCATGAGGTCTTATTCACCATAGTAGTCCCTTGTCCTGGGGATAAGAGAGAGGTTATTGTGTTCCTTTCTGGTTAAAGTCCAGGAACCAGTCAGGAAGGCCAGCCTCTCCTTCCATATCCCAAAAAGAAGCTACAGTGGAAGAGTTGGGGTGGCAGGACGGGCACAGGGGATGGCGACCAAGGGGATTTGTCACTGCCTTGGAAAATTGTCCTAGACATTTGCAAGTCACAGGAAGTTAGCAGAGGAAAAACAGCTGGATTCTTTTCATCACCTTGGGCTGCATATTATCTTGAGATAATGTGTGCTGCACTACACTTTGAGAGAGTGTAGAAATATGGGAAGTGTATGATAGTGGGAATCAGGACCCTGGCATTTTAGACTGCTCCTGACCAGTGGTGGGAGCCTGGGGAAGTTGCTTTGGCTCTTGGGGTCTCTCCAGTTTTCTCCCCTGTAGGTTGGGGTTGGGAAAGTGGGTGAACAGGGATGAGGTGGTCTCTATTCTATGACTCACTGGGCCCGCAGCATGACCATGTCTTACATACACAGCCAGCGATGTTGATTGCTCTCAGCAGGGCTGCACTCTCCCCTCCCCTGCCTCCCCAGCGGGTTATCGTGCTGACTCGACTAACACAACCCCCCATCTGGATGCAGTCCAAACGCCAGATGTGCCCCCGATTAGTGTCGGTCTGGGGAATGTTTCCATGACTGAAAGGTCAGTGTCAGCTGGAAGTGCCCAGTGTGGGTGTCTGCCCCCCACCCATGTCAGCCGGGAGAGCTGAAACTTACATTCTCTCCCTGGCCAAGGAATAGCTGGGGCAGCATGGGGCCAGGAGCTGGCCAAGTTCAGGAGGGCCTTGTTTTACTTGCCTTCCTCCTTTGCTCTCTGCTGAAGGACAGAGTGTGATTTTCCACTTGGAAGAGACTCCAGGGGTGTGCAAAGAGGGAAGTCCTGCTGGTGTGTAACTGAAAACACTTTGTTCTCCTTTAGATCTGCAATGTGCTCATGTCTCTTCTGATTTTCTTATGGCGGCCGTCACCTCCACTATGGAAAGAAAAATGAACAATAATGTTGTGATGGGCTGGGCTGCCATGTTTTACCCTATTTACAGGTCATTTTAAGTATTGCTTCTCCACTTCAGACGGGCTTTCATGTTTAATTTCACTCGTGTAGGGCTATGCGAGGCTTTCCTCTAGGTAGCAATGAAAATTAAACACAATTGAGCTTGATGTGTACTTATTGATTCCAGACCCATTTCAGTAGACTGTGACACTTCGGCGACCTGCAAATTCTACACATTAGAGTTCATATTTTACACAAATGCCGGATCCCCAAGCCGTGGACTCGCATTCCTCCCGGCAACATCCAACTCCCAGCAGAAGACATAGACCCTGTCTGAGGATGAAAGCTCCTAATGAAGATGCATTACAGATGATATTTATGGTTAGCCCCCTAGGAAAACAAAAATGATTCATGAATAATTTCATGGAAGTCACACCAAAAAGAGAGTAATAATTTTCTCAAGTCCACGTTGTCCTTTGGTTCTCTGTGGGCCACTTCTAGTCCCACAAGTCACCACAGCTTCACTTCAAAAGGATGAGGCAGGACAGGGGGAGAGGCTGTGTGTTAACCTGGCTTGGGAACTACCACGTAATGAAAACCGCTCAGCACCCATGATTGATTGTATCCAGTCAAAGCAGAGCTTCTCTTCTTCATGTGTTACTGGAAGGCTGAAGCCTACTCTTGGGCGGGCGGCCTGTGGTTCCTCTGGCAGAGGCATCGTTATAGAAGACACCCTCCCCCAGCAAAGGGAACCATTGGTGACAGAGCAAGGCAGGTGGGTGTGTTCTGACCATCGATTGGTTTCAAGGTCCCATGTCAGTCAATTCTCTTTTGCCACGGAGCTGGGAATTCGAGGCTTTTTTCGGGCCGAAGTGGGAGAAAGGGAATTTTTACTAGAGGGCATGGCCTTCTGAGGCAAGGGAAGAAAGGATCTTCTGCCGGCTAGGGCCGGGAACAGAGGTGAGTTCGAACAGCTTATGGAGAATGGTATTCCCCTCTGGGGGTCACAGGGCCACTTGTAAAATGACGTCTAGACGTTGGTCCCCATCCAAGGTTCTCAACCTTGGCTGCACATCAGAATCACCTGCGAGGCTTTTACAATCCCAGTGTCCGGGTCCCAGCTCATAGCAATTACATCAGAACTGCGGGGGCGGGACCCAGGCCGAGGTAGTTGTCAGGGTGCCCCGGATGATTCCAAGGTACATCCAGGCTTGACGATCATCCATCTAGGACTTTGCTAATCAAAGTACGGCCTGGAGACCAGCAGTGGTGGTGTCACCTGGGACTTGTTAGCCATGCAGAATCTCAGGTCCCACCCCAGACCTACTGAGTCAGCATCTGCATTTTAGCAAGGTCCCTGGGAGATCTGAAGTCTATTATAAAGTATGAGGAGCTGTGGTTCTCAAACTTTGCTGCGCATTAAAATCACCTAGGGAGCTTTTAAAAACTCCAGTGCCCAGGTCGCCCCTTGTACCAATTAAATCAGAATTTCTGAGGGTGGGATGCAAGCATCAGTAGTTTTTTATTGGTTCTCAGGTGATTTCTGATGTGCATGGGTTCTCAACGCTTGCTGCATATTAGAATCACCTGGGGAGCTTTTAAAGCTCCAGATACTTGAGCCCTATTTTCAGAGATTCTGATTCAATTGGTCTGGGAGAGGCTGCAAAAAACTTCCTAGGTGATTCTAATATGCAGCCAACGAGAGCCTCTGTTCCAGAATGTTTTGTCAGCTTCATTCAAGGGCCAGCCGGGTCGAAAACCTTACTGCAAGTCAGTGGATCCAAGAACAGTTGAAGGGAAAGAGGGACCGGACCATGTCTAGACTTATCTGATCTCAGGGCTTTGATATTTGATCTTCTTACATGTGACAACTGCTATACTTTTTTTACGAGTTCAATTATTTGTGTGCTTTATTTTTATTTTTTTACCTTGGCTTTTCTAATAAAGTTTGTTTTGAAAAATTCTACTTCATTTCAGCCAAATGAAGGGGCAGGAGCATTGGTCTGCATCTGGGCCACAGGAGCTAGGAGCAGCTGAGGAATCAGGTGGGACGATGGCAAGAGAGGTCAAGATGGAGAACTCGGCCCGGCCGGGCCCCAGCTGAAGAGTGAAGAAATACCGTTGGGCACAAGAAAGAAGTGAGCTGATTGTGGTTTCTTGTCCCTTTTGCCCTATGGTACTCCCTCTCCACTTCCAACAGGACTGTGAAGTCAGGTGGTTCTAGAGTAGGGTTGCCAGAGTTAGTAAATAAAAACATGGCGCCCGGCTAAACGTGAATTTCAGATAAGCAATGAATTATTTTTGAACATAAGTATGTCCCAGGCACTATTGAGAAATACTTACACTAGACAATGATTTGTTGCTTACCTGAAAATCAGTTTTAATTGGGTATTGTGTATTTTATCTGACAGTCCTACTTGATCGACAACCCTAAATTCTCAGGGTTGGAAAATCTGCCCTCATGAATCGCAGGTTTTCCTCTAGACCTGGAGTGTTCTTGCTGTCTGAGGTGAGGTCCATGTGTGTGTGTTTGAGCCCTGTCCCTAGGAGGTCCACCCTCCTGGAATCTACAGGGTTTGCTCAACACTCCAAAGCTAGCACTGGCAGGGATGTGTGGGGATGACCTGGTTCTCTGGGCAGTATTCTTGGACTTCATTTCTCTGGACTGCTTCTCTGCAGTTTTTGGTGTTGAGGTGGTTCTTGGGAGGTCCTCAGAGGTACCCTCTTCTCCCAGTCACTTGCCCAAGTGAGGCTACCCACGCCCAAGAGGAAAGGCATTTTGGGCTGGAGGTGACAGTGTGGAGCCCAGGTGACTCAGACATATGCAGGGCGAATGCTGCATGTTTCCCAGTCCAGCCATAGCTTGTCCCTGAAGCTGCCGTTCCACATCTGAGCCCAGTGTGGCTGGCTTTCAGCAGAGGCTGCTCCACTGAAACACATTCAGAGTCAGAAGTACAGTTTTCTGTTCCATTCAGCTGAGAAACAGCTTGTCCCCTGCTGGCTTCGGAGCATGTGGGGGCTTGACTGGGGGGAAAGGGGGACAGAGAGTGGGAAAGAGCCAGCTGCCAGCAAGAGACACACACATGTGAGAGATGTGCAGGATGAGAGAGAGAGATGGGGGCGCGGAGAGTGGAAGGGAGGTGGGGGGGGGGGAGGGGGAGGGGCTAGAGAGAGAGAGGAGAGGGAGGGAAGGATGGAAGGACAGAACTGGTTAGGTAGCTGGGGACGTTGAGCAAGATGCAGGATGATCAGGAACGGTGCCCTCTGCTCATTCCTCTGGACTGTCCCACTACAGACCTAAGCTGGTGCTGGTCTCTTCCCTGAAGCAGACACTCTCAATCAGCCAGCACCAGGATAAGCCCGGGAGGGCTCCTGTGGGCTGGAGAACAGGCTGGGCCAAGTTCTGAGGCCGTGGCTCACTTTCTATGGGTGCTCCAGAAGGTGGGTGCCCCTTTGTAGGGCTTACCCGCCGGTCAGACTCTGCAGACATTGTTGAGGCTGGAGAGCTGGCATGCCCCCTAGGAGGACTGCTCACATACAATAGCTACTGTTGGAAATCCTCTCCATCTCCCTCCTGACGCCACCTTCTTCCTAGAATAATAAATAACCACAGAATAAATGAAGGTCACAGACTTGGTTTTGTGTTTCTTCTGGGATTCAAGTCATGGGAAATCTGGGCTGTTCTTTGTCTCCTTCCTGATGGGCTCCAGTGTGGAGAGCTGGGCTTTCCAGCACATCTCCTCCCACAGGCACCCGAGACGTGGCACAGGGAAGGCTCTCCAGAGAAACCTCAGTAGCTAGTGGCAAATTAAGAGGGTGAATGGTTTTTTTTTTTTTTCTTTCCCCTCCCTCCCTGGCCACTTAGTTGAGGACAGAACAGCCAGAGGCTCTGTGGGAGATTGGGAGAGAAGCCAAGGGAAGGGAGGGAAGGAGGAGGGAGCTGCTTCAGAATAGGACAGGTTTCCTCAGCTCACACTTGTGGGGACCCCTCCTCACATAGTATTGGTCCTAGTTCCGATTTTGCTGAGGGCTGGGCATCTGAGCAAGAAGTTCGTTTCCCGATAAACTGTACTGACTGGTAGGTAGAGCTGGGCCTGGGTTCTTGCTGACTATTTGGGGCTTGGCTTACCAAATCTTGGCCAGAGCCTGCTCCCAGCCTGTTTTCTAGGACCAGAGCGCGCTTTCCTTGGAGACTGAGAGGCCTGGCCACTGGAGGAAGAGTTGGCCTGCTCCTATGGGCCAGCAGCTCACTCTGAATCTAATTCACAAACAGCCTTTTGGCAAAGTCCTATGTGTTGTGGACTGTTGGACGGTGTGTCAGGTCCTGTGAGCCATGGAAGATGGGCTTGGATGACCACTGGGGCCAGGCTCACATTCTTATCTCAGCTGTAGGGAGGAATGGTTGGTCCCATGGCATTCCTCTGAGGCTGGCATTCAGGGGATGGGCTGGTATGGGCCTCGCTGGTCAGATCCCAGCTGGCTCTCATTTGTCCATCTCTGACAGACCTGGGCTTGGCCTGAGGACTCTGACTTTATGCCTGGTTGAGACATCAGTGTGTAAAGAGCCAGGGCCCAGGAGAGACTCACAGGTGAATGCAGATGGGATTGTGGTGTGCATCTCTTCCCATGGAGCCGGGGGTCTGAACACCTGGTTAGTGTGTGTTTCAGGGGTCAGGTAGGGAGAGCTCAGCAGTGGGGGCATGGCTGGGATGACTGATAAAGGAGAAGGGGCCCAACTCCTGGTTAGCCCCTGCTCTTCCTCATCTCCTGGTCCCTCTCCTCTGCCCCTGGCATTTCTCATGTTCTGGGACAAGGTCTAAATTGAGACATTCAGGAGCTGCCAGCCTGCTGGGTCCAGGGTGATCACAGGACTCACTGGCTTTCCATCTCCTCTCGGCTTGGCCCTCGTCCTAATCCCCACCAGTGCCTGATGCCAACATCTGGTTGCCCACTGAGGTCCTCTTTCCTCATGCCCATTCTGGGCACTCTTTGGAGCTGCTGAGGTGGCTCTGCATGTGTGTATGTGTGTGTGTGTATGCGTACACGGCCTCCTTGGACATTTGACGAATCATTTATTGGCCCCGAGTGAGGCACAGATTCCACAGTCCTTTCCAACCCTGGACTTAGTGGTTGGAGAAAGTGCCTGAGCACAATTTATTATAAACATCCTTCAGGCCCAGCCTGTGATGCCACTCCTTTGGAAGGTCTTCTCCCAGGACCCCGGCCCTGTGTCCCTCCCCTTCTTTGGGCTCCTAGGATCCAGAGAGTATGCCTGGCCCCACCCAACCATGAGTTCTTCTGCCCTGGTCCGGTTTTGAACAGTTAATCTGTTACCTCCTCCCAGAGCCCAGGCTTTGGAGTCAGCCAGACCCAAGTTCAAATTCTGACTCTCTTGCTCACGAGCTGAGAAGCTCGAGTGAGTTGATTTCTTTGCGACTCAGTCTCCTCATCTAAAAAGAGGGCTAAACATGCCTCTCTCAGGCTCGCTGTGATGCTCTGAGAGCTCATGCAAATGAAGCTGCTGGTACAGGCCCGAGTTTCTGTTCTTCACTCTTCTCTCCTCACGGTTGTTGGAACAGAGCTGGGCTTGTGGTGGGCACCCAGAAAAGTAGTAGTGACTGATTAATGATTATGGAGCCTGCAATTATTGGGATGAAGTCCCTAAACAGGGAAACAGCTCTAAGCAAACCCATTAATTAGGGGCCTGTTTGCAGTTCTTTTGTGCTGGCTTGTCATGTGTTAGCTCAAGGAGGACTGGGTACCCCCCCCTCCCCCCAGAGGTCATTCTGGGAGAATAATGACCAAGGGGAGGCTCCAGCCTGAGGTGTGCAATTCCCACCTACTTGTGACCTTCACGCCCACCCTCCCCTCCCACCCCACCCTAGAGCTGCTGCAATAAACAAGTTACCAGGTGACACACAGCCCTAATAAAGAGGGCCACTGGCTTTAGGGCGGCATTAAGCCTCAGCTAATGGACTTTGCCAGGGAGCGAGGACTGCCCGAGGCGCAGGAGGACTTCTGACCTGGAATGACCTCTCAGGCCAGGGGAGGCCAGGGCCAGCGGCTACTTTTTGAGGAAAAGGAAGTTTTGTTTTTTGTTTTTTTTTGATGAAGACGAAATGTCAAAATGGAAAATTACAAAAATCGTATTATAACTTACATGTTTACATTTATCTGATGAGCACGTTTAAACCCCAAATGCAATGTAATGGTTATCTCACAATAATTTCAGTAACAAAAATATTAATTGTGTACTACAAGCAGGCAGGTGATAAGATAAACTAATGGGGTAGAAATTGAAAGTCGCTTGATGGACATCTGTCTGTCTCCGGGGTCAGCCCCCACCAACTCCAAGGGGCTGGTCCTGTGGGGCAGCTCGGAGCCCAGGGCCCTGGCCGATGGTAAAATCTGTGGTCATCTCAGAGTTGGTGGGGCCCTGGTGACAGAGACTCAGAGATGACCTCATTCCCCTGGGAAACTAAGGCCCATTCATAAGCCACAGACCCGTAAACAAGAAGCTGGGCCAGTTTTCTTCAACGGCTGCGCAGCTGGTGGCCCACGTGCATCCGTGCCGCATGCAGTGAGTGGGTGCAAGTAAATACTCTAAGATCGCCTGCCACAAGCGCGGTCAGTGCGCTTCCATTCACTTCTTGGAGGACCACTGCTTTCCCCACTGGAGGGTAAGCATCAGGAAAACAGAAACTGCATCTGACTTTTTCCCCTCCTGCGTCCTCAGCGTATAAGGGCTCCATAGAGTATATTGAAATACACTGAATCAAAATCTTCTCTAAGAAGTGCCCTGATTCCCACCCACACTGAATCGGACCTCTTTTCCTGGGCTTCTGTCCTCCATTTCAGACATAGCATATTCTGTAATTATATTTGTTTCCTTGCCTTTGTTCTGCGCAGGCTATGAGCACTCACTCGGGATCCCAGGGACCCAGCAGGGCCACCGGTGCAAAGAAGGCGCTGACCACAATTCTTTGGCAGGACTGAATGAATGGTTGTGTGAATGAGTTCGCAGGGCAGACGGACCGAGACTGCCTCCCCACCAGCCACCCAGGCCCAGCATGCTTGGAAGCTACGTTTCTTGATGAGTGTTTTCCTGTTTTATGAATCTTTGTCTGTCTCTAGAAGCCCATGTTCCCTTCTGGTATCAGGGCACATCTGGTTGTTGGTGCATGTTGCTTCGTTAGAAACTCTTAAAACAGCATGAAATTGTTAGCACGTTGCTCCTGCCTGCCAAGCTGTTCTCGAGACTCAAGCTTTGGTGGATTTGGTCTTCTGTTTGTTTTTTGTTTTCATGCAGTTTAGAAAATTGGTCTGTGACAACCTTGGGGGAAATAAGCCTGCCTTGAGCTCTGCCAAGGCGAGGGCCAGCCTGGGAAGAGTGCTGGGGGTGGCTGGGAACGAGTGTGGAGAGGCTCTGGGAATCCTTGCTTACGTGTTCTTTCCTTTTGTTTTGGATTGGACGCTCAGGCTGATTTGATGTGTGAAGAGAAGGGTGCCCAAAGGAGGTAGGGTGGTCCTGGGGCTAACCTTGTCTCCTATGGGTCCTCACAAGGAGACCGGCGCAGATTAGGACAGCACCTTAGGGTTCCAGAGGACACAGATATGCTCTCTCCAAGTAAATGCCTGGGAATGGAAGCTATGAAGGAAGATGCCCCTTCCTGGTATGTTTGATTTCGCTGCTATTTTGGGGTGTGGGCAGTGCCAGAAATCAGCTTTCCCCCCATGGCCCCAGTATGCCATGCCCCCTCCCCATACTCGGTAGCTCTCATCTCTTGGCAGATTTCCTTTCTGGAAGTAACCTCATCTGGGGAAAAGTCTGGGCTGGTCTCTTTTCACCCCGGGCAGCAGTTGTTGTCATTGCTGGGTGTGTAGACCCAGCTAGCACTGCTCCTGTTGGCTGGTCAAGGCGTGGGTGGGTGGGAAGGGGCAGCTAGCACCCCCAGGCAGGAGGTGGTTTGACTCCTGACAGTGGAGATAGGACTCAGAAGTTGGTACATGCCAGTCACAGCGTCCATTCCCGCCCCTCCACCCGCCTCAAACACTATGCCATGTCTTTGGTGTTCTGTGCTTCATCTTTCACTGTTATTTAAGAATTTTTCCTTTCATCCATTTCCACAAGAGTGTGGCCTCCATTTCAGCCTCTAATCTCTCCTCAGAGAATGGCTCTAGGCTGTGCTGCTGCGTTCTGAGTCTTCGTGAGCAAGTCAAGATTTCTACTCTGGCCCCAGCCTCCCAAACGAATCTCAGAGCTCATCCTGGACTGGGACTCTGAGGCCTTCCTGCTCATGGTACTCTGCTATGGACTGAATGTTTGTGGCACCGCCCCCCAAGCATCCCCACTATGATGGTACTAGGAGGTGGGCCTTCAGGAGGTGATTAGGTCAAGAATTCAGCATCTATGATCCAGGAAGGGAGCTTTGACCAGACACTGAATCTACTGAAGTCTTGATATTGGGATTCTAGCCTTCAGAATTGTGAGAAATCAGTGTTTGTTTTTAAACCACATAGCCTGCGGTATTTTTGTTATAGCAGCCCAAATGGACTAAGACATACCTCTAAAGTCTAAGTTCTCTCAAGGAACCCTTGCTTATTTGGGATCTACAGTGTGCCAGGCACTGACTGCGTGGCTTGGATATAATGCCCTGCCCAAGCTGTATAAGCCATAAGGGACACAGTAACAAAGAGACATTTAAATCCTTGTCTGTCTGATGTCAAAGCCCTTCCTCATTCCTCTGCACGAGGGGTTCATGAGCTCAGGAAGAGCAGAGAGTAGAATGCTTTGGTTGTGGGTGTATCGCCCTGCCCCCAGCCTCATCCTTCTGGTCTCACCTCATTCCCCAGCTCGAAGCCAGCGGGAATGCTCTTGCTATGAACTAAATCAAAGCAAAATTCTCTTTGTCCCCACCGCTGGGTTTTAGGGAACTATATTAAAATGGGCTTTTCATTTTAAAAGGGTAGGGGAAGGGAGAGAAGTACAAAAAGAAACTACTGGAAGAATTTATAAATTTTGAATTCTCAACGTTTGGTAAGGCTTAAAGGCACATGGTGCCATATTTCAACCTGGCCACATATTGAGAATCTTCCAATGTGGCTCCTTTCTAGCTACAGGAAATCCTTCCTCTCTCCCCCTTCTCTGCCCCCTCCTCTGCCCCCTCCTCACCTGGAAAGGGTTTGAGGCAGGTGTCCCTGTCATGCCCTTAACCTAGACTGAGGTTCCTGAACTGGAATCCATGGATGAGCATCTGGAGCCGGTGAATTTCCAGAAATTGAATGAAAAATGTGATCGTGTTATTGTATGTGCTTTTTTGCTGGGGAGTGAGTTCACAGATGTAATCAGATTCACAGACAAGTCAGTGACCTCAAATGGTCTAAGGAGCCCCGGAGGTGAACATGACACTTCCATTTGGAAAATTTATTTTAGAGCTAAGCGCTTGGACAAGTTTTGCTTGCTCTGAAGGAACTGGTGTATTCTCTCATCCTGTAATCATTTTTCTATATCTGCCACCATTAACGCGTTTCTAATATATTCCATTTTCATCTTATTGAAATGATTCCTGCCTGGATCAAGTCAGCTCTGTGTGCATATTACAGGAAGAGGGAGTTCATTAATCAGTTTCTTTTTTCTCACTACGGAACAATCAGTTACTGTTCCTGCTGTAGGGGATTTTTTCCTGTGTCTATGATATAAAGAGCATGTAGAGTGACAGGGAGAAGAGGGACAAAACCTGAAAGGCATCCTTACTGAGGGTGAGTTCAAATGTCCTTAGGGGACAAATGGAGTCAAGCAGTGGGGTCAAAATATCCTACTTCAGTGTCTCTGACAGGTCCGGGAGCAGGAGGAAGCAAGCCCCTTAAAGAGTGAAAAGAAGTTGCCACCACCCCATGGGCAGGGATGCCTTTACCAGGAAGGACACAGTCAGTAGGAAAATGCAGACATCAGTGAATTTGAAAAACCCCTGTGAGCAGTCTCCCTCTTCCCGTCACCCTAGTGAGACCCTGGTAGGACATATCATGGAATCATCCTTGTCTGTCACATCCTGTAGAGGTCCCCCCATCATCACGTGACTTAGGACACTTGCTCTCCCTGCAGTACCAGGGAGCTCCTGGCTCAGGTGGCAGAGCCTCTCGGAGCGATTCCCTAGCTTTAGAAACATCTGTGCCACTTAACCTTACGGGCCCTACTTATTTATTTGAATAACTACTGTAGGATAGTGTGGGGTTTTTAAAAAAAGAAGTGGTGTGGTACAGTGGAAAGACCGTGGGATTTGGAATCAAATCCGAAAGTGATGCCACATTGCCACCTTTATTTTTTATTTTTATTTTTTAAAGATTTTATTTATTTATTTGAGAGTGAGAATGAGAGAGCATGAGAGGGGGAGGGTCAGAGGGAGAAGCAGACTCCCTGCCGAGCAGAGAGCCCGATGTGGGACTCGATCCCGGGACTCCAGGATCATG